TATAGATATGAGGTAAGGAAATAGTAGATGTTTCAAATTGCCGAAGTTAAGCGAAATTTTGTCGATTTATTGGATTCGGAATAAATACACTCCCAAATTGTCTTTTTCGTTCGTTCTAAATTTTGTTTGGCCAAATATTTAATATCACACTCCTTAAGTATAGGAACACAAAATTTTGCCATTATTTTACATTACGCACTTACTCGTATTATTGAGAAATCGTTGATCACAGTCAAATTTCCTAAGCAAAATTTTTAAGAAGATCAAATGTAATATCTCATTTATACGTTCTAGTATCGTAAATTTTAATAATTTTTATTATAATTGATGTAATAAATGCTAAAGCATAAAATTTACTTTGGTTTTAATAAATTAAAATTTTTATTTTGGTTAAAATTCATAATTCATATGAATATTATAAAGCTAGTGCGGTTACTAATTTTTCTTAAAATTTTCGAATACAAAGCACTCGGTGTTATTGAAAAACACAAAAATCTATCAATAATTTTATTTTTTGTGTTGTTTTTAAAATTTCAATTATGATTTTCTATAATTTTTATCCTTTTTAGTTTTGAAATCATTAAGTTGAGAAATTTCTATAATATAGAACTACGACATTGATCTCATACAATCGAATTTTTGTGGTGTAGTATGCATAATTTTCTTTTCTTATATACATAATCTTGAACCAATCAATATCTTGTTATTTTATATTTAAAATTTAATAAAATATTAGCATAAATGTATGTATGGAATCCTTTTAACATATTTTAAGACATTTTTTGGATTAAGTTTCATTTATTATTCAAAAACTTCTTAACACCATATACACTTACAATATACGTGCATATACACACAAGTATATCATTTTCTGTTAACGTTTTTGCGGTTTTCTTCGAGACATTATCAGACTTAAAATATAATTTTATAAATAGTTATAAATAATAATATAATAATACTCATTAAATATGATATTGATAGTTGTGTTTATGTAAAAGGAACATATTGCAGGCGACACTGATGCAGATATAATTTGTTTCCTATATATAAGACTGTTTGTCTTATTTTATATTTTGTAAGAAAAACGTATAATAAAGATATTTTAAATAACATTAAAAGTGTTGCCAAGCAAAAATAAATCATGTTCAATATATTCATAATTTTTATCAAATTATTGTATGGGACCAATGTAGAGCAAGATATTAATAATGAGATCTCTCCGGTTACTTGTTATCCCGAATTTTCCTTAAAGTTTTAAGGGGACTGTTTAATTTAAATTCAAATTTAATAGGAAATGCGCTTTTATAAATGAAACATGGGAGTATAAAACTCCCTTTAAATTAACATTAATATAATTTAATGGTTTATCTAAAGAAAGGAACAGCATAGTATTAAGCGGAGGGCTTAATATTAAAATTTATAACTAACAGTGGGTTATTAGGAGAAAGCAGGCAAGTATTTTAGTAAATTTGAAATGAAACTAAGAGGACAATAAGTTAATAAAACAGTGGTTAATCCACAACACGCAGAGAATTTTGAAGTGGTCAAAGAATTTGTTTATTTAGGTTCCCTATAATTAACAATCAAAATAATGTCGCAGACATAGTATCTAGAAGACTGATCCTGGCAAACAGATGTTGTTATGGCTTATACAAGCAATAATCTTAACGCTTACTTGATACACAAGTAAAAATAAAATTGCATAAAACTTTGATACTTCCAGTATTATTATATGGCTCTAAAGCTCGGGTATTAACAAAAGAACAAAAAAACAATTTAAATATTTTTGAAAGAAAGGACTGGGTGTGGAGAAGAAAGTACAACAATGAGTTGTATGAATTGTATAAAGAGCCGGATTAGATTAAAATTGGACGACTAAGATGGGCGGGACATGTTATCCGAAGTGAGGAGACCCATTCCACAAAAAAGATATTTTTACAAAAATCTGAAGTGTTCAGAAGACTAGGGACACCTAAATTGAGATGGCGAGGCAAAAACGAGACCGATTGAGGAAAATTTATAGGAGACCGAGACCCGGTTCGAGTTGTAGAGCCATTGATGATGATTATAATCAGAGAACCATGAAGAATGTGCGGTACGTGGCAGGAGGGCGGTGCAAATAAAGGGTTTTTATTTGTAACCCCTTGAAGTAAATAAAGTATATTGAAACGAAAAGAAATTTTCCAGAAATGTAGCGAGAAACCCTTTATGTTGGCTTTATTCAAAATTTATTTTGAATAATTAAATAACATTGAGAAAAAAATTACTATATTTCTTATTTTAATTATTATGGAAACACTATACAAGATTCAAATAAAATTCTTCTCATAGTTCTTATGCAATTATTTAAGTTGAAATTGGAAAAAAAAACGCACACATTACTACAGATATTCATTTAGAAAGAAATTTATATTGGCATTTATGAAATATTCATAATACATGTAATATTAGGATGAAGAAGAATGAATTAAGAGAAATAATATCTAGATTTCATATTATATTTAAGTTAAAAACCAAAAAAGATTTTGAGGTTAACCGCTAACAGATTTTTCATTTTGATGTTTTATATATATGTATGTAAGTATAATTGTATTCAATGAATTTTACTTTAGATTTTTTGTATTTATTAAAAAATATAAAAAATTATTATGTTTGTACAGATGTTCGAAATCATTAAAATATGCATTGTAAGAATGTAATGCTGAAGATATACCTAATACTAATAATCTATATAGTGTTAAATAACCAGATCTATATAAAAATTATTATTGGGATTAATATTTTATGCAAGTGGCAGCAATGTTAATTCGATAAAATTAAGAAAATATTAAATCTAATTTTAACATTTCCATATTTTGTATAGAAATTTTCCATTGCAGATTATAGATTGAGGCGATGATGAAATGCAGCCTAAAAGATTTGTTCTGTCCTCAACAATTAAAAAAAAAAATTTAAAAGTGTTACCATTAGTTGTAATATCTAGTGCTAAAATATATTTTTGTCCCGTATTTTAAACTCTTATAACCTGGTGATGCAATCACTATTATAAATACAAAATTTAACTACAAAATCTTTAATAATATTTTAAGAAAACAAAAACCATTTTAATAAAATTTTAAAAGAATTTCAATATAATTGAAAATCAAGAAAAATTTTTGAATTCAAGTGATTATTATAGAATTCTAAAATCTGTACAAGAATACTTTTCAATACATACATACACACATAAATATTTTTTTAATGTAAAATATTGTTTAACCATTTTCATCAGTGTATTGTTCTCAAAAATTTCATAACTTCTTTAAATTAAAATAAAATAAAATGTGGCATTATTTTTATTAAATTGGGAATTTTATCTAAATAAAATATGATCGAAATATTTTTTAAAATTAATGTGATAATTCATGTAATTTGAATAAAATTGGGTTGTAATAAAATCATAATCAATTAAGAGTTATTGAATAAATCGAAATTTTTACTAATAATTTTAAATATTTTGCAAAGCAGGAGCTTAGAATGCATTTGGTATTTTTTTTTTAAATTTTGTGATTTGAAAATGTTGTTAAAAATATTAATTGGTTATTTTTAGGTGAAATATTACTGTCGAATAATAATCTAAAAATCTAAATTTTTAAAAATAGTTTCTTCTGCATTTGTTCATCTGCCTGTTTATGAAATTTTTATGTCTAATAAATAGACTCTAGTAAAGACATTATTTCTCTTAAAGGAAATTATCGCATATCTCTCTCATTTATCTCTCTAATTTATACAACCACAATCATAATTAAAAATGCAACTACAAAATCTCTGCCCCCCCCCCCTTTATATTACAACAAAATTGTGATAATGCAAGTACATATTTCTGTGTGCAAACCAAAAATAATTAGTAAATTTTTCTAATATAAAAATCTATAAATAAAATGCAAATTGCAGAACTGACCTGTCAAATTAAGTGTTGTATAAAACCGGCTTTTAACAATTTTTAAGAATAATTTTTCTCATACACGACAACTTAGATTTACGTATGTATCTCAAATTTTAAAAGTTATCGCGATAGATTTTTTATACATTTTTTAGAACAAAATTGTACATAAAACTTTTGGGAAAAATATTCCCAATAAAGACAATTTTTTGAATTGAAACGCTATTTGACAAAAATTTGATGAACACAACTGACCACAAAGTGCATTGTCTGTAAAAGTAAAGATGCTCTGTCGAGACTGACAGATCTCTAAAAATAGCTTATTTAAGCTTCCCTACCATGAAGAAGTCGGTTCCCATTGAAAATTCGACATCCGAAATTTGGTGCTATCACATAGCGTCTCTTATTGTATGCAATGCGGTCGGTAATAATTCGAAATCCATATACTCTTAAATTTATACTAGAAATTCGTGTTTCCTTCTTGACATTGCATTACAATTGTCTTATAATTTTTATGTTGCTAAAACAATTTTTCATAAGCATTGCCAGATAAAAAGAAAATCGAAATGAGTACACGAAATTGTTTAGGTGTACTCATTCCAAATTTATTTTCAAAAAAGATGGTCATTGAATTAAAGTTTGTTTGTTCTTAAAAAGTTAATATTTTTTGAAAAACAAGTCCTTATATAATAATGAGTTAAGCAAATAAATAAATAATAAAATAACTCTAAATTTTCTATTAAGTTCAAGTGAAAATAAAATTCATAAAAAACTTATTTAAATAAAACAAGGCGAAAAACAAACCTTTTTAACATAATAAACAAAAATTCTGCTTATATTATAATTATCAGAAATAAAATAAAAATTCTAAATTTCCATTTTTTTTTCTGATAATAAGAAAAATACCCATTGGGGAGGAAAAAGCAACAACAATATGATAAGGATATTTAAAATAGAGTCATAATATCTATATCAAATATAAAGCGTTGAATAAAATATAAAAAACAAAACAAAACATAGAATTAAAAAATAAAATGAAAAAAAAAAAGTAGAAATGAGAAAAAAAAGCAACACATACTCTAAAACTCACCAAATACCACTGCTCTTTGAATAACGGATCCGGAAATATATTATGGGGACTAGTTGCACGATATTGTAAACGACTCTGTGGTGCAATACCACGTAATAAACTAACGCTTGATCCAGATCCAGTACTACTTATACCACTGCTACTTCCATCATAACCAGTAAAACCAATACCACTGCTACCAGTACCAGTACTTGATGCAGCTCTACTACTATAACCCAATCCACTTGGATTACCCGTTAGTGGACTAACAATAGCACTTTTATATAATAAACTACCACCACCGGCAGTACTACTACCACCAGCTAATGATGGTAATCTTAAAGGACTAAAACCGGAAAATTTTATATCCGTTGTATAATCACGCTTTTTACGTATTTTTTCATGTTGCTGTTGCATCCATCGTACCTGTAATAATACAAAAAAAAAAGAAAATGAAATAAAATGAAAAATAAGTTTATTTTATTTTTTTTTAATACATGGAAACAAAAATAATAGAATAAGGCCATACGTAATATAGGGTAACAGGTATATGAAATATAAAAAAAAAACAAGTAGTGTGAAAAAGGTACTACCATTAGGATATTATTATTACTCCTTATATTCCTTTTTATTATTATTTTTTTTCTTTATTTCAATGGAGATGAAAATAATGGAAAATAAATTACGGTTACATGGATATGAAAAATAAAAAGGAGAAAACTTTAAATAAATTATGGAGTTGTTATGCCAGAATAGGAACAACAACTTTTTTTTCTGTTTAAATATAGGTACACAGTCAAGAATATTTAGAATTTGAATAAATGAAGAACAAGTATGTAAGAGTAATAAATGTATGAACCTACACAACAATATTTATGTACTTGAAATAAGAAAAAGTTAGAACGAATGCAAGAAGAAGTGGAAAATTGATAGAACCATAAAATTAGACCCTTTCTTACAAATTAGATCTTTTCGAATGCGAACATGCACACAATTATTATATTATAGGAGAAAAGGTTCGTTTTAAGTTGGAATATTTTGTATAGCTCAATATTATATTTGATCTTGATTTTTGAGTTTTAAAGTTTTATAATGTTCTTTTAGTAGAAACTAGCTTATATATGAACAAAAAATTACGCTATGAGGAAAATAACAGTTAAAGAAGAACTTAATAAGGTCTTTGATACCGAACATGTGTGAATATTGCCTTTACTTATCATTAATTCCGAATTATACAAGAAAATTATAAAAATTTGTACCGTCCGGTGTCTGATATTTTATAATTGACAAATTAAACAAAGTCATATTGAAAGTGAAGATTGCCTTTTAAAATATTTTCTCACTCTGCCTATATTTTATAACCGAAATAGTAGACTAATAAAAATTCGATGTTCTTTCGCCTTTGTTTCTTTCTATTAAATTATTTTCAATTTCATTTTTAGGAAAATTTAAAAGCGCATATATTGAATTTTTACGCAGTTCAATGCTTATACCTGCTATGCAACACCTACGCATATGCAAGAAAATTACCCGTTAGTGGACAAACAATCTCACTTTATAAAATTAACTGCCATGTATACTAGTAATAAACTGTATTTTACTAAAATTCAAAAACTGTTCAATTTAATGTAATCATATTTCTAAATAACAGTTAAATAATACTTATTATATAAATCTCCGAAAATAATTTGTTCCCAAGTTTATTCTCAGACTCGAAAAATTATTTATAATCGAACAATGTACAAAATAAATTCCGTTCTTAACAGAATAAACCTAAGACTAACGATTTGATTTTTTTTGTTGTATAGAAGAAATCTGCCGGAAGACGTAATAGAAACTGGAGAAATATGAGCCTTTATCAGATATAGGTTCTGTGATCTGGGGCGAGAAACGGAAATGATTGTTAAATGTTACGATTTTGAAAGTTTCAAATTACTTTATTTTATAAATTTTCCTCAGCGTATATTTGAGAGATATTAAAAATTGATATTGCTTAAAAGTACATTCTCCTTTCATCAATTTCTCATTAATCGAATTCAATAACATGAACTTATTTGTGTCCAATAAATCCATTCTTTTTCTCCATTTTTTTTCTAAAGCTTTTGTAAAATTTTCTTTCTTCTCAATTTTTCTCTTTTGTCTTTCATTAAAAGAATATCCAAAAAGTAATATAAAACTTTTAAATACCTCATTCATTATTCTTTTCTTTTACGCTAGCAACACAGAGAACAATCAGTCAAATGACCAAAAATTTGTAAACTTTGAATACTCTATAAAAATTAAAGGGCGATGATATGTTTTCGGTTATACTTAATTTTTATAAAAATCGTCAAAAATAAAATTTCGCCGTGAGTCATCAAAAATCCCAAGAAGAAAAGAAAACAATGAAATTAGAAAAAAGAAGAAGAAAAAACCCCAAATGAATGAAAATGTAAAAGAAGAAAAGAAATTCTTAATTAAGACCGTATTATGGTCAATTATATCATGGATATAATCCGACCCAAACACTCAATATATAGGTACTTACATTTCTAAGCGAAATTCCTTAAAAAAAAAAAAATATTTAAGTATCACTATAAAAATTGGCTATTTTAAATACACTCTCCTCGAAGCAAATTTAATGAACTGATTTTACTTTCTCTTTCTTAAACTATGTTGTATATTTTTCTTATATGTATGTTGTGTATACGAAAAAAGGATAATAAAAATGAATATTGTAAAAAGGATCCCATTCTCTATATTCATTTTTTCTTTTTCTTTTAGAAATCCATTCAACCCTTATTTTTCATCAACGACTGTTTTGTTTTTTTTTTCATCTTAAAAATCTTTTCACCGGTGTACACATTGTATAATAAGAATTAGAAGGGGGAAAATGTAACCTAAATAATTCAAAAATTAAGCACTAAAACCTCCATTAACATTGTTTTCCATACAATAAACTTAAAAATCTAATATACAAACAAATGCACAAAATATTAACTAAAGTAGAGAAAAAAGAGAAAGAAAAAAAAATAATATAACGGTATTATAATTATAAAATGTTGGTATATGTGTTTATACACAGTACGTATACAAGAAAGAGAAACAAAAAGATATTCAAGGTTTCTTAAAGTTAATTGTAAAAACTTAAAAGAAATCTTTGGTCAAAAAACAGTTTTTGTTTTTAATATTAAAAAAAAAAACAGAAATAAACAGAAATACAAATTGGTCGAAAAATGGATAATTGGCCCTATTAAATAGTATAGAAAATGTAAAATTAATAGCTTTTTTTTAATTGAATAAGAAAATTTCGTTAAAATATTCTTCATTTCATAAACTATAGTTTAGAGTATTTTGTATAACAGTTAATTTTTTAATTTCTATAGTTTCTATATTACTATTACAATATCATTGCGGCCAGTCTGATCTTACCTGACAAAGAGATTCGAACTCGATTTACTTTCACATGAATTAAAGAGCTGAAATCTTTTCTTAGTCAGCGACCTCGCTACAAGTCGCAATGTGAAACGAAGTCTCATTTTCCACACATACCGAATTTACATGGCGTGATTTATAATTTACGTTTACTGAGATGGTATATTTGTTCACTTGATTGTAATCACTTATACAGTATCGCGCAAAATAAAACTTCCATATACAAAAAATTACAAAATCGACTAAATTACTAAATTATTGTAATATAGTTAACACAATCTGAATACGATTTATTATTTTGAGTAAGATGCAATGATTTTGCGGTAAATGTTTGTGGAATTTTAGTCAGAATTTAGTCAGAAAAAAAATTTTCCATAATTTTCTTAAAAAAATATGAGAAACCTGTACCATATTTTGAGATAACAAACAAAAGAGTAACAGAAATTGCATCAAAACCAGTCACTGCAGTGATATTGTGGGAAGAAAACTATAACGAGAATTCGGAAAAAATTCGAAATTTTAATATTTCTCAGCACAAGATACAACATAATATTCGATTTAAATTTTTGAACTTCCATGTTATTCTTATTAAAGGAAAATTTCATAAGATTGAAAGCTTAACTACTAGGTAATTACAGAACAAGATCATAATTCAGAAATAAATTTAATAATCTTCTTTGTTCATTATTCATGCGTTTTCATTATTTTTAGTCAATTATTCACCTACTTTTACAAAATATTAATTATAATTGGAAACTATTTTATTGATAGTCTATAATTATTAATAATTAATTTATAATAATATATTAATACTATAATTACTATTAAAATTTTGCGTTTATTATATTTGGTCCTATCGTATACCTCCTTCCACTTAATAAAAACCCTTTTATATAGTGTTATTTCTTAGATTTTTCTCTGAAGGCTTTTATACTAACTTTTATACTTGTATAATAAGGATGTAAATAACAAAAAAAAAAATTCCAAGAAAATTAAAATAGATAAATAGATATAGAGTTGTTCATGTCAACTGAAATATCAAAATTGAAATATTAAAATATCTAAACTCTGCGTATTTATATAATCCAGTAAAATTTGGTTCAATTCGGACAATTCAAAGGCGGTTTAATTAACAAGAGAAAATTTTTGCCTAATCATGTTTTCGAGAACGTACCGTAACTGATAAAAATATTAACCTAAATTCGAACAGCTCTAATAAATATAAATTGAATTAAGACTGACTTAGGTTGCTTCAGATTTTTCTTAATAAGATTCTAAATCTTCAAAACAACTTAATCAACAATCTTTGTTCTTTTTTCCTTATTGCCACCTATATGTAATATCTGTCGGAATTAGTGATTTAAAATTTATTTCAGTAAAAATATTTAAAATGTCCGATATTTATTAAATTTATTGCTTAAAATTCAGCGGATAACCTTGCCAGCCCAATAAATTTGTTATAAAGCACCTCACATCTTCTATAGTTTAGTGTTATAAACGAGAGTGGAAAATGGCAATAGTGATTCCCCAACAAAGTTAACGCGAATATATAAGAAAATCAAATTAATAAACAAAAATTTCAAAATAACAAAAAATCAAAAACTTTAGAAAAGGACATAAAAACTCATTAAAAGAAAACTTTTCTCTTTTAGACGAGCAATAATCAAGGATGAGGTTGGATAATAAATGATTTTCTTTCTTTATTCGTCATTTTCTTCTATTCTTTGAATATAACGTAGTATAGTAATTTTGTGTCATTCCACCAAAGTTGCTTTTAATGTCGTTTTATCGACTCTCTATATTATTGTCGTTAATATTAGTTTGGTTTTTGGTTCTTTTATGTTTTCAATGTAGTTGTAAGATGACTTGATACTCTTTCTTTTTTGTTTAAATTAAAAATAAAGGAATAAAAATAGAAGAATATTTAAAATAAAAAATAAAAATTAAAAAAGGAAATTTGTTAAGAAATATTTCTGCTACATTGGTTAAATGGATTAAAAAAAGAAAGTCCT